TGGAGGAGGAGGAGAAGAAGAAGAAGGTGGAGGAGGATGAGGAGAAGAAGAATAAGAAGACGAAGAAGAAGAAGAAGGTGGAGGAGGATGAGAAGAAGAAGAAGGTGGAGGAGGATGAGAAGAAGAAGAAGGTGGAGGAGGATGAGAAGAAGAAGAAGAAGAAGAAGAAGAAGAAGAAGGTGGAGGAGGATGAGAAGAAGAAGAAGGTGGAGGAGGATGAGAAGAAGAAGAAGGTGGAGGAGGATGAGAAGAAGAAGAAGAAGAAGAAGAAGAAGAAGGTGGTCGGAGGATGAAAAGAAGAAGGTGGAAGTGGATAAGAAGAAGACGAAGAAGAAGAAGACGAAGAAGAAGAAGAAGACGAAGAAGGAGAAGAAGAAGAAGGTGGAGGGGGATGAGAAGAAGAAGGTGGAGGAGGATGAGAAGAAGAAAGTGGAGGAGGATAAGAAGAAGAAGAAGAAGAAGGTGGAGGAGGATGAGAAGAAGAAGAAGAAGAAGAAGAAGAAGAAGAAGAAGAAGAAGAAGAAGGTGGAGGAGGATAAGAAGAAGAAGAAGAAGAAGGTGGAGAAGAAGAAGAATAAGGATTGGGTGCCTTTGAAAAGAAGAAACAGCAAAAAGAATAATGATTTGTAGGAGGTTGAAAGAAGAAAAACGAAGCTTTAACAAAATAGAAAATAAACGGTATATGGAGCTCAAGGTCTGTAAAGAAATGAGAAGTTTGATGAAAAGAAGAAGGTTTGGAGACATGGAAGAAAAAGATCAAATGAGGAACTGAAATGTAGAAGAAAATATTAATTTGAAAATGATTCAAATTATTAAGAAAATGAAAGTAAAAGAAGGGATATAGTTTGGAAAGAAGAAATGTCTAATAAAGCCTTTAATAACGAAGACAATGGCACAGACGAAAATAAGAAGATAAGAAAAAATTGCAAATGCAAAACACGTAAAAAATGGAAGCAACACGAACGTGCAAAAGATTCGAAGACGAAGACTGGACGAAAGAGAATAAAAACGAAATAGTTAACATAAAAGAAAAAGAAACCAAGAGAGAAAAAAAACGACGAGGCCAGAAGAAAGAATGAAGAAAAGAATATGTGAAACAGTACAAAAAATAGGTGAAAAGCGGAACATTCAAAGAGAGAAAATCGTGCACAAAAGGAAATCAACATCGTTCCATGCCCTTATAGTGTAATGGAATTCTAAATGTAAAAAGCAGTTCAACAACAACGGAATTCTTGGCTATAATCTTTAGCCTAACTGAATCGAAGAGATCAAGGTGAAGTAAGGACATGCGTGACATGGCCAGCTGTTCGTAATGGCTTTGAGTTGAGAATTGTAATAGAAACAAGAAAAATATTTCGTCGAAGAAATAGAATTAGTTCCCTTCTCCGAACAGGACTTGCAGGAAAGTCTCATAAATTCGTACGAAAATTCGTAAATTGTTTTTACTTATAAAAGAAAATAAAAATAATAAACAAATTAGAAAAAATACCAAAGATTTAAAAATTCAAAATTTCTTCTACGCTGTCTTCGTTGTTAGCATCTTCGTTCTCTTACAGCAGACAATTACGTACGCTTCTTTTGTCAATGTTTCAGATACAGAATTTCCGACTACTTTTATTCTAGAACAAGACTACCCGTGATCTGTTTGGGCCACTGACGGTTCAGGTTATAAAAGTTGATTTGAATATCTTAAAAAATTGTCTGTTTGAAGAATTTTGAAATAAAATTACTTATTGTATAAACAACTCGTATTTTTAAATCTTATTCACTTATTTTTTTTTTAATCAGATTAACTTAAAAATATTTTTAATATGCCAAAATATTTTAAATCATATTTACTAGAAATGCAAATATTAACTCCTAGTTGAGAGATAAGATATTTGTGGAACTTCTCTGGCTTTAAATAACCCGTAAAAGGTTGATAAACCGTAAGACATAAATCAAATTCTCTGAGTCAACACAGCCAATGAACCAATAGCTGAAGAAAAGAAACAATCCTGCTTTTCCAAATGATATTCTTTCAAAAGATGAAAGAAACCGAAATGTGAACTCACTTTGACTATTCTATTTTACGTATCCATAACATTTTTGCTACCCGCACATCTTAATACCAAAAAAAAAAAAAAATCCAATAAATTAATAATAATATATATTGTCCTCACCAGACAGATTGTTTCGCTTTATCACAGTTCTTCAGGCCGTGATCGAAACACGACCGATTTGGTATCAATAGGAGATTCTACTCCTAGGCTATCGTCGCACAGCAGCTAGGAAGGGAAATTTTAAGGTTTTCTATGCGAAATATGTCAGTGGCCCGGAGAGCTCAATTCAATTCGGTTGAAGAGCAATGCATTAATAGCAGTATGAGCCAGTTTTTAACTTTCTCAAGAGAGCTCAATCGGATATCCCGAGAGCATAGATATTATGCCACATCTAAACTATTCATAGTAAATCAATATATATATATATATATATATATATATATATATATATATATATATATATATATATATATTTGTGTGTGTGTATGTGTGTGTGTGTGTGTGTATATATATATATATATATATATATATATATATATATATTATGTATAACATTATTTATATATTATATATACTTGGTACTTATTAGAAAGCGCTCAATATCAGAGATAGAGCTAATATATTTAGTTGGATCAATCCAACCATATATATATATATATATATATATATATATATATATATATTGATTTACTAATACAGGTTGATGTGGCACAAGGCCGAAAAATATTGCGCACCAAATGAGTAATCTCTCGACAACTGTTTGAGACAGCCTATGCATATTTTTATATAACTTGGGAGGAAATGTATATGCCATTCTGATTCCCTTAACTATTACTTAAATGCTTTATAAATTTATGGTAGGTACAAAAAACGAACCACAAAGAAAAGCAATATTCATTCAACTACAATATTAGCATTATATTTATAAACCGCTTCCTGCCTGCACACTAGAGAAATTTTAATAATTAGAATTGCAATACGCTGACGCATGTTAACATCCCCATCCTATTTAATATTGTTGAAGTTATCGCTAACATTGTTTTGTCGAGATTTATAAACTCTACGTTTCATTCGATTTCGCAAATCAATCGATAAAATTAGAATAAGTTGATTTGTTTGGAAAATACTTTGACACAGAACCTACTTAACGGTTTAATAATTTCTTTAATTTAATTTAATTTTAGGACTTCATGATATATAATATTTTTAATAAAATTCTTTTTTTTTTCCTTTTTCCCTTTTAAAAGTGAAGAATAAATTCTCCGGGTTTCTTACTCTTGAGCATGCAACTGGCCATGCGTAAATATTTCTTTCTGGAGACATATTCTAAGTTTTTGAAGCGTTTGGCCTTGTAATTTGTTGATAGTTCTCGCAAACACAGGGCGAACTAGAAACTGGATTCTTGTATATATAAAACTTAAAGAAAAGATATATAAGAAACAATATTGAATTTTAAAGTATTTGTTATTTTTATCATTAAATTGTTTTTAAAATAATATGATCATTTTGTATGTTAAAAATAAAAGTTATTGTTTTCCCGCTAAAATTTATGAAACTTTATTGCACCAAGCTACGAATCCTAGTAAAACCAACTGTACCTTGTGTCCCCTTACCCGTGTGCACCTCTCCCCAATATTTCGATCGTTCAATGTATGGCTATTTTATAGGATGTGACGGACGAATGGAAGTCACAAAATTTTGTATATAGATAATAGATATAAAAAAGACAAAGCTCAAGAAAAAACATTTTTGATTCATCTAATATATTAATAATATTTATAGAATTCCTTTTGTCACCAATATATAGTTCCGTGGCCGTAATTATAAAGTAAACGTAAATCCCATTTATAGCGTGTAATAATGCTTCTTTATTTTCCCTGAATCATCGAATTGTTAGAAAATAAAGTATATATTCAAGACATATTATGTCTATTTATTGTTATTTTAATCCTCCCAAATTGATGGATCAATTTCTTAATGTTGTTATTAAACTCATTAAGAAATGCGCCGTAGTTTGTCTCATTTCGTTTATTTTCCGGAGTACTTCTAATCTCACCCAAAAACATGTTCAGGTGTTTCACATTATTTTTTTGTCTTACCAATTCGCCTTCTTTAATGAGTTTAATAACAACATTAAGAAATTGATCCGTGAATTTGAGAGGATCAAGATAATAAATAGACATAATATATGTCTAGTTTATTCAACCAAACATGCCTGAATGAAGATATATTGCCTAAAAATAATTTGGTAAAACAAAAAAATCTACAGAGAAGAAATTAGCCATCGCCACTAGTTGGTGACATGGCTTCAGAAAAGATATATCGGCAGCCATTTATTAAAATGACTATCTGAATTTAAAAAAAAAAAAAAAAAAAAAATCCTGTAGGCAAGATAGGCAACAGTAAACTTCCATCATATTTTCCAAAAAATCATAACAAATCAAGATCTACAGATAACCATGGCTGCCTCTGTCGGGATACCTTATCTTCGGCGCAATTCTAGTTGCACTACATATGATGTTCCGTGGTCCTACAATGGGTTAGGTGTTTTAAAAATGTTCTATATCCTTTGTGTATGTCGGCCGGATCTTTACTATTTATTTTTTAGAAAACCTGGAAGTGTTTTTGTTTTTTCCGATTTGTAAAAATAATTTTTTTTTTATAAACAAAAGACGAGCTTCCATTGCAATTTCAATTCACTCATTAGAACAAGCGTCGAAAATAAAACATGGAATGATAGACATTTTATCAGGTCGTCTGCTTATTAATAGTCAAATGATTTGCACGCGTTTTAAATGTCGACTTGCGTCTTCAACTAATTCACTTTATCCTATTCTAAATTTAATTCCGAAAATTTTTTCAGACTTGTTATTTTCTTTTGCTTCCATCTTTTTTGTCTGTCTGATTCAATCATTTTTTTTTTTTACTTTCCATAACATAAAATGCTTTTTAGTATTCATGTTTAATACGATTTTCTTTCTTTACATAAGCCTCTTGTTATACTTATGGAGGCATACTGTACAAGACTCAGCTAAAATTCTCAGGTCATTTGCTTCTTCTTGTATCTTTTTTCTTCTTTTTTTTTGTTACTTTCTTTTATTGACTGTTCTTACTTTCCTTATTTTCCTTTTTACCTTCATTTTTTTTCTTTCGTTTTCTTTATTTGGTTATCTGTCTTTTTTTAATTTTTCCTTCGCTTCTTTTTTTTCTCTTCTTTCTCTTTTACCAGATTCTTTCGCTTTCGTTCTTTCTTTCTTCCTCTTCTTTCATCTTTGTCTTTTTTCCTTCCTGTCTTTCCATATCGTTTTTTCTTTTCGCGTTTCTTTTCTTTGCTTCTTTATTTCCTTCAGTTTTCTTTATTCCTGAAATTCTTTTTTTTTTTTGCTAACACATTTTTCCATTTCTTTTCTTCTATTAACGTTTCATATTTTTTTTCATTTATTCCTATCTTATCTATTATTTCATTTTTATTTTATTTATTAATTTCTTTTTTATTTGTGATATTTTTAAAAATTTATTTCCTTCCTTTTAATTCTCTTTAATTTCTTTACTTAATTCTTTTTTTCTTTTGCTCAATTCTTGTTTCAACTACTCAATCTTTTTTCTTCCTATTGTTTTTATCTTACTGTCTTCCTTTGTTTTTCGTTGTAACTTCCTCTTGTGATCTTTTTCTTTAAGTCTTATTTGTTTTTCATTCTCGCCTTTATAATTCTTTTCCTTTTTCCTTGTCTCCGTTTTTCTTCTTGGTGAATTTCTTTTCGTAATACTTCGTCTTTTTTTATCAATCGTTTACTATTTTCTTCCGTTTTTTTCTTCCTAAACGTTCTTCCTCAATCTCTTTTCTTTTCGAAACGTTTCCTTAGATTTCTTTTCCCGTTCATAATGCTTTCTCACACATTCTTCCACATTTTCCTTAATTCTCTCTTTCTTTCCTTATATTTTCATTCCTTCGTCCCTACAGATTTTCCAATTTCAACATACCTAATCTATCTTATAAAGCAAAAGAACCGATGACAAAAGCCAGAAAAACAAGTTAAATTCAATGTGCAACAGACGCAACAAAAGAAAATTCCACATTACAAATCCAACTTGTCATCATAAATATTTACGGTTCATTTTCCAAGTAAAACGTCTATTTTAATCTACTTTCTAGATTTTAAAAGAAATTATTGGCTTCAAGGTGCTAACTCACGGCGGTCCGTAATCCTGAGAAGTTACTTTTTGTTCTTTTACGAAATACAGGATCGATTGTGTAAAAACAACAAATGCTTCTTCGAGATAACATTCAGAAAAGCATATACAATACAATTACTATTCTATATCTACACAAATCTATCTATATCTATCTTTCAATATATATATATAAGTACCGCACATATAATATATAAATAATTATGCATATATATATATTTATTATATACACACTTTTCACACACACACACACACACACACATATATATATATATATATATATATATATATATATATATATATATATATATATATATATATATATATCCGAAAATTTTCCGAATTAACCAGTAGAGAAGACAATATTTATGAATAAAAATGACAATAGGAAAACTGGTAATTGCTGACGCGTTTCTGTCCAATGTGGACTTTATCAAAGAAAATACATATTTTGCTTTGATAAAGCCAGCAAAATACCAGTTTTCCTATTGGCATTTTTTATATATATATATATATATATATATATATATATATATATATATATATATATATATATATATTATATTATATATATATATATATATATATATATATATATATATATTAAGGTATTAAAAACAAGAAATTTTATATTGTAGGCCATGATAGATTTAAAACAAAACACACACCAGTCGACCGGTTTCGTCCCCTTTCATCAGAACTGTTAACGGGGAACTAAGATTATGAGGAAAAGAAAAAGAAAAAGAAAAAGTCTGTCATGGATGACATGAATGAGTGGACAGGGAGAAAAATTATATATATATATACTATTTATATTATCCGCACTATCATCCCCATCGTTGTTGCCATATTTATCACAGCGTTTCGGCCGTTGTACGATCCGGCCTTCTTCATTGGTTGGAATGTCGAACTGAACCCTTTATTTCGCTCGCTAGGATTAGACTGTTCTAGTTTCACGTGCCATGTCTAAGTGATGTCATCAGATATCTCCTGTAAATTTCCCTCTCCAAGTTCTCCACCGCCTTAACCAGGTATAGAATTCACACTCTGTCAATGGATCTAACTAACGCCTTTATCCACTGTGCCATGTGTCCTAGTTAAACTATTATTATCCAAATTACTGAGAACCAATATTATTTACGAATTTACATTCAAATCTGTAAATAATTATATTGGATGTAATACAACATATTTAATAAGAAGACTCACGATACTCGTCTCTGGCCATAACTCAATTAGGTTGCATTTAAATACACATGGAAACCTGCCCAACTTACTCGCTTATAATACAAATATATTAATATCATCGACATGGACAAAAAGGATAAAAATAATGAAAGTGAAAAATCCGACTAAAATACCAACTATGAACACCACCACCACAATGCGCTGACCGTGTTTGAAAAATAAAATATTCTTATAAATCTAGATACATACATAAAACAATCCATACATCCAGTTAAAAGTAATAAAAAAAAATCAATATTAATAATGGCTAAAATTATAGCCAAAAGCGGTTGGAAAACATTTTGACAATTTTATATAATTTATGTCCTGAAAAAAAAAAAAATTATACGAACAACTGAGAAAATTATATATATATATATATATATATATATATATATATATATATATAACTACTGCAACTTGTCGGTCGTTTTCAACGAAACTTGCATAAAACCGATTATATACAATTATATACAATTATATACAAATACACAATATATATATATATATATATATATATATATATATATATATATATATATATATTAAACATTTCACCCCAAGCAACGTAGGAGTGCCACTAGCAGTTACAGAGAGCGAGAGTAAGAGATAAGACTGCGTATAGGGGAAACTGAAGAAAGTATAAATAGAAGAACGAGGATCAAAACAATAGAAGATGTCGATTGACATATATATATATATATATATTATATATATATATATATATATTTGAAGATTGTAATTTTCAGGGAATCAAGTAACAGGAAGAGAGTTTAACGGTCGGGAAGTGCGAGAGAAGAAGCTGTTGGAATAAAAGAGGCTTTTACATTTAACAGTTTTGACAGTAAAAGGATGCGACCGAGATGCCAACCTAGGGGCATCTTAAATTCAGGGAGTCGAGGCATAAGGGAAAAGAATTGAGTGATTGAAAAGTTAAGGGTTTGGATGCCAGCGAGGTAAATTACAGAGTGTTTAAGCCACTTGGTATGGTCGGCGTTAAAGTCACCGAACACGAATATGTTTACAAACAGATGTGTAACGATAGCTTTGTCTATATTATCGTAAATGTTATCGAGTACACAACAGTCTTGAGAGGAAGGGGAGCAATAGAGATAGAAGAGAATTGAATTGAGGAGAGATAGACGGAGACGCATATGGGAATGGTCTGGAGATTCCAAAGAGAGTTTCCTAGCCAGCGAGAGATGATCGAGGAAATAAACTCCCAGGACACGCATGTGGACTTTAGATTTCTTTCTAAAGAGAGCCAGGAATAGAGAAATCAGAGAATGGGGTTTTCGAGTTAAGGTTAGTCTCCCTTTACAAAAGATACCCCCAAACACACACACTCCATTCAGCCGTCAATTCACATCAATAGGAACATTATTTTCGCCTAATGAAGTTCTTTTGGAGGATGAAGGGCGTTACATACACCCCCACCCCATTTTTACCCCTCATTAATCTTATATATACAATTTATATATCTGTCTATTGAGGCAAATTTAGTGAGCGGTTTCTGCTTTTAAGGCCGTCGGTTGATTGGTTGCCATTTACATTACAGAGGCCATAGAAATCAACGGAAGACACGTTTACCTAACTGTTTATTTTAAGGGATAATTATTAAGAAACTGTACCAAGCTCTTTTTTTTATCTTGCAATGTACAGAAGCTGCCCTCTTTCGGGATCAATGCACAATTGCAGTTGAGTAGGTGCAGTGTATCACACATGCTCACAGAATTCTCGATCAATTTCTTCAAACTGGGCAATGATCTGAGCTTTCAGTTTCTAAGCTGCGTTATTATCGTATTACTAGTGTAAACGACGCGGCGCCATTGATTGAATGATTTCCGTAAGGTTTTGTAGTAATATTTCACGGCTGCAAAGCGTTCATTCTTTGAATCTTAAATGAATGAATGAATGAATAAATGAATGAATGAATGAATGAATATATAAACACAGCAGTGATCATTCACAAAACAACACACAGTGTATTAGTCGTGCATCGAAATGGGTTTGATCGTAATGTCGACTTAAAGAGTACAGTCTTGGTGACAAGAGAGTTTAATATAATAAGGTAAAAACGAATAGAAAATGCATTGATTTCTGACTCTTCAACGGTATATTAACGTCTAGATTCGCACTACAGCGTGTTCCTAAAGTCCGGGCACGTAGAAAATCTCATTAGTATATTTTTACCTCCATAAATTAAACAGGGTTTTATCGAAAGAACAAAGAATTGACTTCTTTTTCTAGGGTATGATAAAAGAGAAGGTGTACTCAATGAATCTGAATGAACGCATAAAGAGTGGATGTGCTAAAAATTGACGACGATATGGAGTTATTGCATCGAGTTCACGTGAATCTTTCAAAGCTCACCAGCCTCTGTATCACAAATGATGAAAATCATATTGAAAATGTTATTTGTTAATATTCCAGTTCAATAAAATGGTGGTGATAATTTAATTTCTTGAAAATAGGCATTTTTTCACCGATTTGTCGAGACTTTAGTGAGCCCTTGTATATTTAATCATTCTTAACAGTTCTATTGCTATTGCAAAGTATGATATTTCAAAAATATCAAAGATTAAAAAAAAACGTGAGAAAGCAGAATTGAGTCGGCGAAACCGTACGACTTGACACTAGCAATTTAAAATTTAAAATTCACCGTTCAGACATTTTCAACTCAAAAAATGATTCGGTGTTTGTTTGAGTATCAACCAATGGGTTCAGTAGAAACTAAAATCCGTGTACCAACACTAAGCTCAATCGCAAATCTGTCGTAAAGAGTCCTGCGTGCAACAAAAACGGGCTTAGAACGGCTGGGGGGGGGTGTATCAAATGCACTTTCACTCACCAAGCTCAAAATCTATCCAAGTGTAGCACAAGGCCGAAAGTATGGGGCACCCAGTGAAGATCGAACTCACTACTCAGTCGTAATTGTTCTATACGATAAGCTTGCTAAACATTACCGCATCGACGTGCCCGAGCTTGGAATCCTCCCGCATAAGCAAAAAAGCAACGGCCTTTATTCATCGGGAAATTTTTCTGATTGGCCACGCTAGACAGGGAGAAAAGAACATTAGCATATTTTTTTTTTTTTTTGCTAACAATTTTCCTTCGACAGACAACACACAAAACACGAACTCTTTTTCGAGGCAGGTGATTTTCGTTTTCCTTACAGTACAGTGTAACCCGAATATAAGAGAGTTGTCGGGACCGGAGAAGAAGTCTCTGATATCCGGGTTTATCTTATATCCGGGTTTGGTCTATTTTATATACATTAACATAGGCTCTAATTTGGGACCAGAGAAAATCTCTCTTATATCCGGGTTTCTCTTATATCCGAGTCTCTTATATCTGGGTTACACTGTATTTCCCGAGAAAGAACGATCGTCCAACTTGCTGCAGATTCAGTCACTTAAAAAAGAAAAACCAGCAAAAGCAAAAAGAACTAATTAATCTACAGGAGAAACACAAGCAAAAATTATTATTAAGAATCAAGGTCAGCGTTTTGCATCAGTGCGCCCAGGTGCACTAATACGCCTTAAAAAGGTACCCAGGTGTGTCCCATGTTAAAAGAATAGTAATTTATGAATTAT